GTCAGCGGGCGGCAGCTCCCCGTCAGCGGGCGGCAGCTCCTCAGCAGCCTGGCCAGGGGCAGGGGGAACTGGCTCCACAGGAGGATCTATCCTCACAGGCCCCCTCAGAGCAGCCCCCTTCTGAGGGGGCTCCTTCAGAGCAGGCTTGCTGCTTTTCTTACTTGATTTACTTTTCAGAGCTTTCTTCCTTGTACTTTTCTTCACATAGGCATTTTGCTTTTTATTTTCCTCTTTATTCTCCCCTACTTTGCTGTTGCCCTTTGATACCTCCTGACCATTTTTGGATTTATTTCCTGTCTTCTTCTTCTTCTTGGTTACAGGTCCTTCCTCACTCACAGGATCACACAAGGACTGGACTTCAGTTTCCAGCTTCCGTTTGCTTTTTTTGCTTTTACAGGGTTTTTCTGAACTATTTCCTGTATGCACATCCACCTCTTTTGTCTCTGTGGCTGATTTGCGAGTTCTAGTAGTCACCTGGGAGGCTGAGACAGTGCTACAAGGCTTTTTCTCTTTTGAAACATCTTTTTTCTCCACTTTTATAGATTTCTCATTTTTCTTCCCAGCCACATCTCCCTTTGTTTTTGTCTGTTCTGTTTTTTCATTAGTAATACTGTTATGAGCCAAGTCAACCTCTCGCTTTTTGGTTTTCTTCAGTTTCACTTTTGAGACATCCATTGTTTTATTAGGACAAGTAGGGTGCTTGGACTTGAAATGATACTGGAGATTACACTTCTTAGAAGCTGCATAGTCACACACAGGGCAATTGAACTGCCGTGGGTTAACATGGAGCTCGACGTGTTTTTTGAAATTGCTCCTATCTGCTGTTTTATAGTCACAGTGAGGGCAGTTAAGAGGCTTGGGGCCATTGTGCACCTGTCTTGCATGACGAGTTACTTCATGCTGATTAGAGGCCACATAGCTGCACTGATCACATTTAAATGGCTTCTCACCTGAAGAAAGATGACACGTATTAGAAACCCATCAATTCAAGGGTTATGCACTTATAAGAAATTGTATATACAAAATATACCACAAAGACTGTTTACTGAAAAGACTATCATGCACCTTATATTTACCATATTTATTTGTATAACTTTTCTCTATCCCTTGCTACCAATTCTTACACCAAGCAAACAGTAATCATCTCATTCAACCATCATTCTCAAAAAAGTTCAAGGTAGAGCTCTCAAACACAAAGAATAGAAACTCATCAAGTACAAAATTGTTGGCAAAGTTCACGTGGGCTCTGAAATTTAATTTTTAGACAGGGTCATTCAGAAAAAAAAAAATAAATAATGTCATGTTTAGGTTAAAAAAAAAGGTTGATTGAATATAATACAAAAGTTCCAGCTGGGGAAATGGCTCAGTAGAATAAGCGCTTCTCTGGCAAGCGCAAGGGTCTGAGTTCAATCCCCGGTTCAAAAAAAAAATCACCATGAGTTCAAGACTAGCCCACACTACATAATGAGGCCCTGTCTCAAAAAATCAAAAGACAAAAACGTAATAAAAATTTCACATAATTTATAGACACATCTTGGGAAAAATATCTTCTACTCTAGGCTATACTCCAGGCCCTAAACATGAAAGCCTTGAAGCTGTGCTTTGCCCTCAAGGAGCAAAGGGGCACAAAAGCTTTTCTTGAAATTTAACCCTTTTCCCATAATCACAGTAAGGGCTGAAGCACACCTCGGCCAGCAAACTCTTCAATACTAGAGTTGTTATTTTAAAGCAAAAATGATTTTCCCCCTCTAATCTGTGAGAAATAAGCAAAGAAACTAGGCTAAGTGAGAAATGACATACAAATAGATATGGTATGTGATGTAACACAGTCATAATCACAGGTACACAAACCAGACCACCCCAGCCCCAAGCCAAGCCAAAGGCATAACACAGTCTACCTGATACATACCCATCTAGATCACACTCTAGAACATATTACCAAATGGTATCCATACCCCACTGGTCCAATGGAATGCATAGTAGAGAAATGGAAATTGACATTTATGAAAATTCATCTCAAACATTCTCAAATTCATATAAAAGCTTTAAGGTTTTTCAGAAAGCAAATTCAGGCATGAACCAAAACCACATGGGTGCTACTCTTTGTGTGACTAGCAAATGTGTACCAATAAAGTATGCAGTCATAAGCACAAACACTTCTCCAGATAAGTCAGATCATGTATGAAGCTGACAGATGTACTACTAGCTATTTTGCTTGTTAGAAAAGAGTAGTTTCTACAACATGTGATCTCACTCTGTACTTGGTCCTACTGCTCTGCAATGAGTGCTCTAACTGGAAATAAATCAGAGCACCTAACACACAGGCACAGAATGGAGAAAGACAGATGGCACTGTGGCTTAAGGCTTGTTCTAGAGTTAGGGCTTTGGAAAGATGGGACTATGCGCTCTGCAATTGGCATATGGACACTTGGAGTACAGCATCAAAATCTCTCCAGGGTACAATTTCTTCATAAATCAAACACCTTCCGACAAGTATTAGAAAATCTAAATAATTTAATGATCTATGTTAACCATGTAATGTTTACCCGGAGCATTACTCTGGCAGTGTGTTTGTTTATGCACAGACTGTCCTGAGCAATGCTCGGGGCAGGTGTCATTTCAACCAGCCGATTCTTTTCTTTTTCTTTTCTTTTTTTTTTTTTGTGGAACTGGGGATTGAACTCAGACCCTTGCGCTTGCCAGGGAAGTACTTATTCTACTGAACCATCTCCCAGCCCCTATTTATTTGTTCTGAGGCAGGGTCTCATTATGCAGTTCAAGCTGGTCTCAAATTCAATAATTCTTAAAAGTGCTGAGATTACAAGCATTTTTGTGATTGCCACCACACACAACCTAATGATTCTTATACTAAATTTAATAAAATTTTTATTTTTATATTCTTTTTTTTTTTTTTTTTTTTTTTTTTCTTTTGGGCGGAACCGGGGATTGAACTCAGGCCCCTGTGCTTGCCAGGCAAGCACTTATTCTACTGAGCTATCTCCCCAGCCCCTTATTTTTATATTTCTACAAAATTTAACAAAAAACACGTAATTTTTGGTCATCTTGTATTTAAATAATTGGATTGGTAAAGTGGTTAAGTAGCTAATGTGAAGGTCAAAGCAGGCAATCAATACGCATGACCTGTAACTCAGTTTTAGAAGATACTGTAATATTTAGCACAGTATTACCAGCCTGGGTTATACAGCAAGCCTGAGATCAGCCTGGGAAACATAGTAAGACCTTGTCTCAAAATAAAGGGGTGGGAGAGGGAGAAGGGACATAGCTCAGCAGCATAGTGCCTGCCTGGCAAGCACAAGCTCGTGAGTTCAATTCCCAGAACCTACATAATCGTAAAAATAAATTAGAAGGGCTTGTAGTGTAGCTCAGTGGTAAAATGCTCCTAGTTTTTATTTCCTATATAAACCCTACCTCTGAGTAACTAAACAGCTGATGGGTGAAGTTTATCACTTTATGTATGAAGATGTGTGATAAGAAAATTACAAAAAAAAGTTTCAGAAGGCTAAGGTGGAAAGATAGCAAGTTTAAGGCCAACTCAGGCAACTTAATGAGAGACACTGCCTAAGCCAACAAAGCAGGGAAAATGTTGCTCAGGGACACAGTACCCTTGGGCTCGATCCCCAGTACTGACAGTGGGTGACTGAGCAAACTGAGAGGACATGCACAGCAAGCAACATCAAACACAAGCCTCCTCGTGCCTAAGAAGTGATCGGGGAGATAAACCCTGATGGCATAAATCACAGTTCACTAGCTTGTTCTTCCCTGATTCTCATTTTTTTTTTTTTTTTTTTTGGCGGAACCGGGGATTGAACTCAGGTCCTTGCGTTTGCCAGGGAAGCGCTTATTCCACTGAGCCATCTCCCCGGCCCTTGATTCTCATTTTGTTGCCAATAAATCTTGCTTTTTCATTAGAATACATGTATCTATTAAGATTTTCTACTTTAGCCAGGCAAGTGGCTCATGCTTGTAGTTCCATCACTCCAGAGGCTGTAGAAGTGAACTGGGTTCAAGTCCAGGCCTGTGTTACCTGGCCAGACTGTCCAAAATGCAACATAGACTCTGTCAAAATAAAAACAAGGGCCAGGGAGATGGCTCAGTGGAATAAGCGCTTCCCTGGCAAGCTCAAGGGCCTGAGTTCAATCCCTGGTTCAACCAAAAAAAATAAATAAATAAAAATAAAAAATAAAACCAAAAAGCTAAGATGTCGCTCAGTGGTTCAGCAGGACTGCAAGTTCAAAACCAGTCTGATCAACTGAATGATTCAAGAGACCCTACTTCAAAAAAAAAAAAAAAAGCCGGGGAGACAGCTCAGCAACATTAGCACCTGCGTGATAAGCACTTACATGGCTAGCGCCAGGTCCTGAGTTCAATCCCCAGTATCAAATAAATAATTGATGGGCTGGAGAGATGGCTCAGTGGTCTAAAGCACCTACTTGAAACAAGCTTGGCAAAGCACAGGGACTGCGGTTCGATTCCCCAGCACCACATGCCAGCCCGCCCCGCCCCCTGGTGGGCTGAGCTGGCCACACACACACACACAATAAATAAATGTAATAAATAAAAATAAATAAATAAATAAATAATTGAGGCCTGGGGCTGAGCATGGTGGCATGCCCCTGTAATCCCAGCACTTGGGGAGACTGAGGCAGAAAGATGGCCCTGAATTGGAGGCCAGTCTGAACTACATAGCAAGAATTGGGTTTCCAAAAAAAAAAACAAAAAACAGAGGGCCTGTGAGATAGCTCTGTAGTCTAAAGCGCCTGCTTAGGCAAGCTTGGGCAAAGAACAGGGACCAAGGTTCAATCTCCAAGCCAGCCCTGCCCCCAGGGTGGACTGAACTGGCCATAGAAGAAAGCAGATGGGGGCCTACTAGACAGCTCCAGGGCCTGCTGAGACTAAGGGAGATTGAGACTGGGCGTGGTGGCAAGCGCCTGTAATCCCAGGCTTGGGAGGCTGAAAACAGGAGGATCACTACAAGTTTTTTTTTTTAAACATTTAGTGTGTGTGTGTGTGTGTGTGTGTGTGTGTGTTTGTACGTGTGTATGTGTGTGGCCAGCTCAGCCCACCAGGGGGCGTGGCTGGCTGGCATGTGGTGCTGGAGGACTGAACTGCGGTCCCTGTGCTTTGCCAAGCTTTTTCCAAGTAGGTGCTTTAGACCACTGAGCCATCTCTCCAGCCCCAAAGCATTTAGTGGTTTTTTGGGGTTTTTTTTTTCCCAGAACTGGGGATTGAACTTGGGCCCTTGTGCTTGCCAGGCAAGCGCTTTACAAGTTTGATCTGAGTGATGAGACTCTGTAGATCCTGTTCTAAATACTTAAAAAAAAAAAAAAGAAAAAAAAAAAAAAAGATGAAATTCAGTGTGAAAGCCCTGTGTGTAAACTGCCAATACCACAAACTAAAATATAAACAAACAGTGAGGGAGTCTAACTCAGTAGAGAACACTTGCTTAGCAAGTGTAAAGTCTGTATTCAATCTATATAATGCCCTGGGAAATGTGTAATAAATGGAAACGAAAACTTGCAATTCCTTTTAACAACAACCAATGCACATGTAATGAGGAAGAAGACAAAATAAATTATTATGCTAATGAAACAGGGAAAATAAGCCAGTATGAATGTATATAAAAAACTGCAATGGCAGTTGAGTGAGGTGGCCCACACCTGCAATCCCAACACTGAAGAGGCGAAAGCAGGAGAATCTCCACATTTTTGAGGTTAGACTGAACTACAGAGATTCTGTCTGAAAAATCAACAAAAAGTTAGAAAGAAACAAAGTAAAAATTTCTAAAATACTTACCTCTGGGCATGTGTCCTCATCCATAAATTAAGGTCTATACATTTTAATAGAATTCACAGCAAATCCCAATTTTTAAGGACCCAGCACCCAGAATATATGTAATAAACAGTAGGCCAATGAGTATTATAAGGCAATTCCTGAAAAACCATCTTTAAAATATAGCAAACAAAACTACAAACACTTGGAAAACTCAAACCCAGCCTGGGTTAGGGATGTAGCTTAGTGCAGAGGCACTGGGTTCAAATCCTCAGTGCAGTAGTAAAAAATGAAAAGATGGAACTAACATCCTGATAGCAAGTCAAGGAGAGATACTAGTGTGAGCCAGGCACGGCACAGATGCCTATGATCCCAGCACTGAGGCAGGAGGATCCCTGCAGGGTTCCAAGCCAGCCTACATGCACAGGAGACCCTGTCTGAGTGTCATTCTAATCCAGTGAAGAATCATTAAACAATTGGTCGATTTGATATGACTTCAAAGGACTTACAAACCAAGATAAGTATCAAGCATTTAGGCTTAATTAAGAGACAGAAGAAAAACTAAAAGACATTATGAAAAAACAGGTATAAGCAGAAAAGGCAATGTGTAGGACAAATAGCCATATTTTTAATGCTTCAGTATTCCCAGAGAAGGGGCTAAATATCATTACCCAACATAAGACAGCTGTGAAGACTAAAAAGAGTTAACCCATATAAAGCTCTTAAATGTTTTACCAAAGGGCTAGAGAACAGCTAACAACAGGAGATACAACCCACATTAACAAAGGCCAGGCACACAACACTCATCCCAGCACTCAGACTGAAGCAAGACGAGCCCAGCCTAAGCAGCTTCTTGACCTTGTCTCACAAAGTAAAAATAAAAACAGCTGGGATGAGGCTCCGGGCAAAGATTTAATCCCCAATACTAAAAGGCATGGTGGTGCACACATGTAATCCTAGGACCCAGAGGCTGAGCCAGGAGGATCTCCCTGAGTCCAAGGCTAGCGTGAACTACACAGTGAAACCTTGTTCCAAAAGAGACAAAAAGGGGCTGGGGAGATGGCTCAGAGACAAAAAGGGGCTGGGGAGATGGCTCAGTGGAATAAGCGCTTCCCTGGCAAGCGCAAGTGTCTGAGTTCAATCCCCGGTTCCGCAAAAAAAAAAAAAAAAAAAAAAAAAAAAAAAAAAAAAAAAAAAAAAAAAATCGCATCCAACGTACTGTCGGGAGAACAAAATCAAGAGTTATGTGGCACAGCTCAGTAGCTTAGGATATTTAAAGGCACTCATCCTTATAACATGACAAATAAGCAGGGTCAGTCTCCAGTAGGAACACTGGTTCGTTCAGGTGGGCAGTGCTGTGGCAAGCCACACATCAAGTCCTAGGTTCAATCCTCACCACAAAAATAATTTTTCAAAACTATGGGGTATCTGTACAGTTGCGGAATACAATTACATAATGCAGCTTTATAACTGCAGCTTTCAAGCAGCCACATTACAAAACTAAAAAATAGGTAAATTTTTACGAACTTTTTAACCCAATACATTCAGTACTTTCAACATACATAGCATTTTAAAAATATTTTACTTCTCTTCCTAGTGTTTAAAATCCACTATGTACTTGTACTTTTAGTAAGTCTCAATTCCAAACACATTTCACAATTCAATTGCCACAGGTAGCTAGTGGCTATCTAGCTAAGAAGCAAAAATCTACAGTAATTATTAAAGGAGGTATGTCTACACTGACATTCACACATACATAGCAGGAATGCAGTGCTTTGCCCACAGATGTATACATTCTACATCTGGAAGAGTGGTCTGATCAGAATCATGGTCTCTAAGGGTCACTCAGGCACAGGTGAGCTGCTGGAACTAAGTAGACTGGGGGTGTGGCTCAGAGGCCAGCATTTGGCTTCCTACTGTACCCCAGGCAGGCTCAATCCTTCCACCCTAGGGCAAAAAAACACTAAGCTACCCTCCACCTTTTGTGTGGTGCTGGCCTGAGGTTCTGCCTCTGCCCTGGGGCTCTGCTTGCTCAGGCTCTGCCAATGGGGACTACACTGATCCAGACCAGCTGTCACAGCTCCTGGCATTTCCTCCTCGTTAAGAGTATGGCACCTTGTCTGTTCTAGGTTAGTAAATTGGTCTTCCATATATTGTTTTGTTTTTTAGTACTGGGAATTGAACTCAGGATCCTGCACTTGCCAGACAGGCACTTGTGCCATTGAGCTATAGTCCCAGCCCAGGTCTTCACTTCTTTCCAGTCTTTGTAAGACAGCGCTCACTCTCGCTACCAAGTCAGAACAAACCCAAATTCTAAAAACTAAGGAGGAGGCTGTAAACAGGCAGATCACTATGAGTCTGACCTAGTAGTGAGACCCCGAATGCCCTGTAGACCCTTCCCTAAAAATACTAATAAATTTAAAAACTAAGGAGGAATCCTTGAAGACCTGGCAACTACACACTACAAAACCAATGTTATACTGTTGAGAGGAATGTCAGAAGGCAGGCAGATGTTGTTCCAAAAACAGACTTGGGCATGGTGGCACCTACCTGTAATCCCAGCACATGGGAGTCTGAGGCAGGAGAACTGCCAGTTCAAGGCCAGTTTGGACTACATAGTAAGACCCTGTCTTAAAAACCTGAATAGATATTTAAGTCTCCTCCCAGAAAGAGCACGCAAATTACATTCCGTTTCAGAGGTGCCCCTCAGAACCCTTATGAACAATCTCCACTTCAACAAAGCTCTATTACTACAACACTGATTATATTCATTGCAACTTGCAAACTTTTTCTATAGGCCATAAATAAGACTTGGTTCCAGTTCTAAAAGCTTCATTGTAACAGTACTTTATAACCACAAAGGAAAACATTAGAAACTAAGTAAAAGTAAAACAGCAATTTACTGAAAATGACAGAAAAAGTCCCATAAATTACCAACCTGAATGAGTGCGCATATGTCTAGTTAGATGAGTCTTCTGAGAACTTGAGTAAGGACAAAGTTCACATTTATATGGGCGCTCTCCTGAAAAATTATAATAGCATTCAAATGCAAAACAGACCAAATGAAATTCCCACCAACAGACTATATCTATTTGTTTTATTTTATTTTATTTTTCGGAACCAGGGATTGAACTCAGGCTCTTGTGCTTGCCAGTGAAGCGCTTATTCCACTGAGCCATCTCCCTGGCCCCCAGACTATATTTAGTACACAGCACTTTTTAACACAGATTAAAAGCAAATTACTTCAGACTTTTTTTCCCCCCAGTAACAGGAATAGAACTTGGGACCTGTCTCTTACCAGGCAGGCACTTACGCTGCTGAGCTCTATCCCCAGCCCCAGAATTTACACAACTACATTATTTTAACTTTGCTGATAAAAAATTACCACTGACATTCTGAATTCTCACAGCCATCATATTTTTTCAGGCTACCCTTGAACTCACAATGATCCCTCAGTGTCAACCTCCTGAGTGCTAAAATCACAGGTGCGTGCACCTGGCCATCTTAATTTTCAATGCTACATGTTGAACTAAGATACCATCTTGGTAAGCTATCAAAAAGCTGTGAGGGGGCGCCAGGGAGATGGCTCAGTGGAATAAGCACTTCCCTGGCAAGCACAAGGGCCTGAGTTCAATCCCCGGTTCAGAAAAAAAAAAAAAAAAAAAAAAAAAAAAAAAAAACAAACCTTTGCTGGGAGTATCTTCAATCCCCAACATACGACAGACAGACAGAGAGACCAACTGACCCAAATTTTGATACTGCTGGACAGGCAACTTTTCTGATCCATATAAATGATCAACTGAAAATGTCAAAGTGAAGCAACAACATAAGTGCCAATGTTGCTGCTTTAAGCTAAAAGTGTTTCTGGTACCCAAGTGTGATGGTACAGACCTGTAGTCCTAGCTCTCAGGACACTGAGGCAGGATTGTCAACTGCAGGCCAGTCTGGGCTACATAGGACATTCAAAACCAGCATGCACAATACAGCAGGACTCTGCCTCAAACATGTTTTGAAGGGGCCGGGGAGATGGCTCAGCAGAATAAGTGCTTCGCTGGCAAGCACAAGGGCCTGAGTTCAATCCCCAGTTGGGGGTGAGGGGGGAATCACCACTTTTCTTCTTGGTGCTGGGGACCAAAGCAAGAGCCCAGGCAAGCTTAAGATAAGGACCTCCTGTAAAGCCAAGCTTCCCTGGGCTCCCAGGTTTGGAGGAATTGCACTTCCAAACTAAGAAGGCGCTCTAAGCCTGTGCCCACTGCAGCAGATGACAAAGCCTCTCTTACCAAAAAGTCCTCTTCCCCACACGTTAGGGCCACTTCCTTGGAAAATGATTTCAGCTGGAGTAACACCCAGGTTTTAAAAACTACTCATTTTCCATTTTGGGAATGACAGGTTCTATTTAGGAACTCAGCACAAGTCAAAGGATTTGGTTAAATGGATCTACAGAGAAGTTCACAGGGTTCTCCTTTTTTGTTAAAGCCTTCGATTTCTCTGGGAAACTAAATTTTACCTGTGTTCGCGGTCACACAGACACAACCACACACACACACACAAATCCCAGGTTTTTAAATATGTACTTTAGGGCCAGGGAGATAGCTCAATAAAATAAGTGCTTGTCTGGCAAGCACAAGGTCCTGAGTTCAATCTCTGGTACCGCAAAAAATAAATAAATAAATAAAAATAAAAAGTACTTTAGGAAAGACACTACTAAGATTTTTCAGAAGTATTCTCCCAAAAACATTCAGCATTGTGCCTAAGTACTTCAGTCCTCAACCATATGCACATGCAGAATGAGAAAGGATGAGGTGAATCCTTAATTTCTAAAAACTTATCACAGTGAAAGATACAATGCCACTAATTCCCCCCAAATACTCTTTCTCACTTTGAAGACACTATCCCACATCTCTTAGGAAGGGTGTTTCATAAAAGCCCAAGGTATATGTCTTCATCCAACTCACTAGATCTGACACTGTAAGAATTTTGACTTTTCAAAGTCAAAATGATCATGAAAAGCTAGATGTGGTGGCACTGAGAAGCTGAGGCAGGAAGTTTGCAAGTTCAAGCCCAGCTTGGAAACTCAAGAGACTGTGTTTCAAAACATTTTTAAAAGCACTGGAGTTCCACTGATGGACTTAAAAAGAAGTTGCCAGGCATTCCAGCACTATGGAAGGCTGAGGCAGGAGGGCTGCTTCAAGTTTGAGGCCAGTCTAACACATACAATGAGTTCAAGGTCAGACTGACTACACAGTGAGACCCTGCATCAAAAAAACAAATTCAGGGGGGCTGGTGAGATGGCTCAGTGGTCTAAAGCACCTACTCAGAACAAGCTCAGCAAAGCACAGGGACCGCAGTTCAATCCCCCAGCACCACAGGCCAGCCAGCTCCGCCCCCTGGTGGGCTGAGCTGGCCACACACACACACACACACACACACACACACATAAATAAATAAATAAAAAACAAATTCAGGAAAGGGGATGGCGAAATAGCTCAGCAGACTAAGCACCTGCTTAGACAAGAGCAGGGAATGGGGTTCAATCCTTGGCACCACATACAGCACTGGCCACAGCCCCAGTTGCATTGAGCTGGCCAGAGACTATGTGTGGTGGTGTATGTCTGTAATCCCAAGGCTGGGAAGGCTGAAAACAGGAGGATCACTAGAGTCCCAGATGCACAGTGAGACCCTGTACCAAATACATTAAAGTAAATAAAATAAATAAGAATGTGAGGCTGGGCATGGTGGCACGTGCCTGAAACCCCAGCATTTGGGAGGTTGAGGCTAGAGTATTGCTGCAAGTTTGAGGTCAGCCTAAAATACAAAGCTAGATCCTGTCTCAAATAGATGGGTTAGAAATGTAACTCAGTTTCAAAGCCCTGGGGGTTCAATTCTCAGCACTGCCACGAAAAATATGTGAGGACTGAACTCAAGGACTACAAGGCTTCTCTTACCTGTGTGAGTCCGAACATGCTGGACGTAATTATTTTTTCTGTCTGAGAAGTAGTTGCATTTGCTGCAAGTGTACACTTTCCTGGGGAAGTGGTTTCTCAGGTGCTTCCTCCAGTGATACTCGCTGACAGTGGTGTACGTGCAAATGATGCACTTGTAGACTCGCTCATTATCCCCAGCTCTGGTGTGGTGCTTCAGGTGAGCAGTGTAATGATCATAGCGATTGGTGTTGTAGCCACAGCGATCACAGCGAATGGGGCCCTTTGAGAAATCTCCTTCTTCAGCACCAGAAGAGCTGGACTCCCTGGCTTTGGCCTGCTTCTCTGCACTTTCTTCCACAAAAAATTTCTTGGCACTGTGAACTCTGATGTGATGCACAAACTGTTCTTCAGATTCTGCTTCATACTGGCATGGCTTACAGCGAAAAGGTTTGGTCTTCAAGTTCTTGCACTTGTCCTCTGCTCCAGGAGTTTCAGGAGGATTATCTTTATTTGAGCTGTAGATCTCAGGGGCAGCTGAGGCTTCAAATACAGGCTGTGGTTCTACAACACTGAGCTCCAGATTCCTCAATTCCATGTTCTCCAGTCCATTAGATTCACCTTTTACTTCAGAAGAGTCCTCCAGCCCTTCTCCGTCACTATCTGAGAAGTTGTTATCCCCAACAGGCATTAATTCTGCCATCTGCCTTTCTTCACCTACCAGGTAGTCGCAGCAGCTGCCATTCACTTCCCCAGTTAGGGCCACATTGGCCAACATGATGAGCTGAGGCGCAGCCAGCTCAGCTTTGGAGAGGTCGTGCAAGTCATACATGTCATTGGGCAGGGCCATGCCCATGTTGCCACTGGTGGGGAACAGCCCAGCTCCCCCAGACGCCTGCCCCATCACCTGGGTGGCCATGTTACTCTGAAATAACAAAAACAAGGAAAGGGCAAGCTTAAACACAACTCTCATCAGCTTTAACTCAGAGCATCATTCTACTTCATAACCTTTAAAAAGGGGCATTTTTAGTGTAACCTTTACAACTCAATGAACTTTATTTGCTAAACACAAACCTTTAGGATGTTTAGCAGCAGAACATCTGCCCAGCCCTGGGCTCTATCTTCAGCAACCCAAAAAATATTTTTGTTCATTCCCAATTGTTTTTACTGCAGTCACCAAAAATGAAAAGTAAAACACTTTTCCTTGCTGGGCATGGTGGTACACACCTGTAATCCTAGCACTCATGAGGCTGAAGCAGGAGGATGACTGCAGAGTTCCAGATCAGCCTGGGCTACAAAGTAAGCTCAAGGCCAACCTGAGTTGCACTGCAAGGCCCTGTCTCAAAAACAAAAAAAAAGAAAAGAAAACACACTTTTCCCTATTCTTCCCACCCCAAAATTGTATCAATTGCTTGACATAACTATCAACTACATCTCCCACTGAAACCAAGTGGTTCTGTTGCAAAACAAAAACTTCATTTTTAATATTGATTTAAGTTACTTTAAAAACCCAATACACTAACAGTAAGCTGTTGTCTCCTCTGTTCTCTCCCTCAGTAGTTCAATAGTTTGCATCAGAGAGCCAACAAATCCACAATCATTCTGTGCATACCTTAACTACACACACAGGTTTAGAAGAAAGTCTTGTAAACAACTGATCAATTTAATTGAATTTTGCAGGAATTCAACGAACTCAAAAACTAAAATACAGTAAAAAAAATTACCTCTTTCAGTTTTTTGGTGTTTAAAAACATAAAAGGCAAAATTAAGAAAATTTTGAAACCCCTCCCTTTCCTGTGAAAAAGGCACATTTGGTTTATTCGAAACTTCACAAACGAATGTGAACTTTTTTTCTCGCAAGGCCCTTAATGAAACGATCGTACAACTCGGCGGGGCACGGGCAACTTTCTTGCACTGTGCTTGACTTGGCCTACTTGCCTAGTGGAAGCCATTACAAGATCACCTTCTTCAAAACAAGTTGGGTTTTAAATGGCCTGAAACACGTCCCTTCCAGCCAGAAAGGTGCTACTTATTCTCCCACTAACTCCGTGTCGCCTTCCAAATGACAAAAGAGCTAACTGCTAAAATAAAGTTAAACCGAAAATACAAAAAAGCAACCGTTTCACCCAAGGGTACAAGCCCCTGTAGCCCTCCGCACCAACAAAGTTGGAACCGAATGCCATCACAGGAAACGGAGCGAGGGCCGTCCCGGGGCTTCACGGCCCGAGCCACTAGCCTGCTCCCCCGACCTCCTACTCCAACCCCGCCACCCCCGGCGCCACCGCCCTGCAGAGGGGACCCGGCCGGGAGGCCATCCCCGCGCAGCCTGCAGCCCAGCGCCGAGCGAATTCCTCCGTGCGTCGGCCCGGGCCACATTCCTCCCTCCCAGAGGCATTCGGCCATTTTCTCCGAAGACCGAGCACAAAGCGGCGCCCCGCGAGCTCGGCGCCCGCTCTTCCCCCGCCGGCCCGAGCCCCGCAGCCCGGCCCGCGCCCGCGGAGTCGCCCCCACCT